GGAGGGATATCTCAGCTCTGGAGGTCCCCCCGAAGAGCAAAGGGTCCCAACTCCACACCTGGTTCCCCAGCTTTCATTTCCAGTGCCAAGAAGATATGTCACTGTAACTTCTGGCTACAAAAACGGTGGGGATTGAGACTAAGGGAGACAGAGGCTTCTGGAGTCCCAGGCAGTTCCTCTTAAAGGGACCACACACAGATTCACTTGGATTCCAGTGCTGGGGCAGCAGCTCAAAAGGCACCAGGGATACATGGGTAGGAACTGAAGTATTTGGCATCAGGGCAAGAGCTGGAAGACAACTTTCTCGCTGACAGAAGGGCTAGCAGAGGACACTGTTACTTTGATGAACCCTCTCCACACAGCCAGTGGCAAGTGCCACATCCGAGTTTCCATCAACCTGGCTCATACTGTTTGCCCTGGCCAGGTGACTCCCCAAGGCCCTGCCCTACCCAACTTTCAAGCCACCCCCCAAGCTGTTACCAGTCGCTTTTCCACAGAATGGCCTATTTTGGCTTATCCTTCAGATTTTCCTAAAATCTTTCAAATAAGCAGCATATGGCCTCAGAATGCCCTTGTATATCTCACTAAGTAGCCCCAGGCCCAGCACTGATTATCAGCTGGCCTTGTATCACAGCATGGTCTCGCCTGGGCACCTCCTAGTCCAGCACAAGTAGTAGCCATGAGTGCTTTGTAGCTCATGCCAGGTGGCCCTGAGCAGAACACAGGTGGTAACTGACTTTGGTCTGCACCTTTCAGCAGGCCCCAGAGCCAGCACACTGAGCAGACAGCTTTGCACCATGTGGAAGCACTACCATTTAACCACCTCCACAAGAGACACACTCAAGGGGGGGACTCAATGGGCATCAGAGCCCTGCTGAAGTTAAGTCCTGCTCTATGGTGTTGGCCCTACACTGCTGATCCTCCATGGTGGTTGAGGGTCACAGACAGTCTGTGCAGCTAATTGGCCTTGTGGTAAATCCCTCCCACTGAAGTGCCAACAGCAATCAAAGCTCAACTATAAGAGGAGGGTATACATAGTCCACATGGTGGGGGGGGGGTGGCACACATGAAGTGTTCAGCTTGGGTGATCAGTGAGGCTGTGCCACTGGACCCTACAGGACACCTACCAACCACACTAGGCCACTCTACCAAGCCAGGGAATCATAGCAGCTCTACCTAATACAAAGAAACAAACACAGGGAGGCTGCCAAAATGTGGAGACAAAGAAACATGTCCTAAATGAAAGAACAGACCAAAACTACAGAAAAAACAACTAAACAAAATGGAGACAAACAATCCAGTAGATGCGTAGCTCAAAACAACGGTTATAAGGATGCTCAACTTAGTAAGAACTTCAATAGTATAATACAGGTCCAGTCAGAAATGAAGGATATACCAACTGCAATGAAGAATAATTTACAGGGAATCAATAGTAGAGTAAATGAAGCTGAGAATCAAAACAACAATTTGGAATATAAGCAAGCAAAAAACACCCAATAAGAACAACAAAAAGAAAAAAGAATCCCCCCAAATGAGGGTAGTGTAAGGAGTCTCTGGGACAACTTCAACTATACCAACATTTGAATCACAGGCATGCTAGAAGGAGAAAAAAGCAAGAAATCAAAAACCTATCTGGAAAAATGACAGAAAGCTTCCTCAACATGCTGAAAAAATAGGTATAGAAGTCCAGGAAGCTCAAAAACCCCCAAAGATGATGAACCCAAAGAAGCCCACACTAAGACACATCATAATCAGAATGCAGTAAGTTAAAAACAAAGAATCTTAAAAGCATCAAGTGGAAAACAGTTACCTACAAGGGAGTTCCCATAAGGCTTCTAGCTAATTTCTTAGCAGAAACTTTGTAGGCCAGAGGGATTTGCAAGAAATATTCGAAGGGATGAAAACCAAGGACCTACAACCAAGATTACTCTACCCAGCAAAGCTATCATTTAGAATCAAAGCACAAATAAAGAGCTTCCCCGACAAGAAAAAGCTAAAGGAGTTCACCAGTAGTGTATGAATGTCACAGGGCCTTCTTTAAGAATAACAAAAATAAAAGATAAAAGGAAAAATGGCTCACAGACATGGACAACAGTGTGGAGATTGTTGGGGGGAGAGGACTATAAGGGGGATAAATGACAATGAAAAACTGCAATAAAAATGAAAAAATACTAATACACATCTATCAAAAATTGAATTGAGGGACTTCCGCCAAGATGGAGGCATAGGTGGAGACACCGTGCTTTCTCACACAACCAAGTTTAGAGACAACAAAATATTAGCAATAGAAAACACAGCCAGAACACAGAAAATTGAAATTTTCAGAAGTCCGATAACAAATTCTTCAGCCTGACTGGTAAGAGGGGAGAAGCCAGCAGCTGGAGGAGTAGGGTTGCAAAGGGCCGACCCAGTGAGCAACCTAGTGAGTGCGACCCAATGAGTCACGGGCGGATACAACGAGGGTGAAGGGCAGTGGGTTGACTGTGGTGGCGCATTCCTGCGCAAATAGACTGGCGAGGGAGTGGGCAGTGAGACGGGTCCCAGCGACGGGAGGCAGCAGAGACAGCCGCCATTTCCCGGCTCTGACCCCGCCCCCATATACCATGTCACAACCCAGCGACCTGATAGACCCTACCCTGGTGAACACCTCAGGCTTCGCTCCTCACCCAGTGGTGGGAAGCAGGTAAGGGGGATGCCATTTCCCCACTCTGACCCCACCACCACATACAGCGTCATAACACAGTGACCCCGCCCCTAAGGCTCCACTCCTCATACTTAATGGGCGCAAACAGACCAAAAATGGCTTAAGAAGATCTCAAAGTCCTAGAGCCCATAAATCTAAGTGACAAAGAAATAGCAAAACTTTCAGATGCACAGTTCAAAACACTGGTGATCAGGATGCTCACAGAACTGGTTGATTTTAGTCACAAATTAGAGGAACATATGAAGGCTAAACTAATTTAAATGAATGGCAATGCACAGGAAACCAATAGTAATGGAAAGGAAACAGGGACTCAAATCAAAAGAGTGGACCAGAAGGAGGATAAAAATGACCAACCAGAAAAGAATGAAGAAACAAGAATTCAAAAAAATAAGGAGAGACTTAGGAACCTCCAGGACATCTTTAAACGCTCCAACATCCAAATTATAGGGGTACCAGAAGGGGGAAAGGAACAGCCACCAGTGGAAAACTTATTTGAACAAATAATAAAGGAGAATTTCTCCAGTCTGGCAAAGGCAACAGACTTCTAGGAAATCCAGGAAGCTCAGAGAGTCCCAAAGAAGATGGACCCAAGAAGGAACACACCAAGGCACATCATCATTACATTAGCCAAGATTAAAATGAAAGAGAGAATCCTAGAAGCAGCAAGAGATAAGGGGACAGTCACCTACAAAGGAGTTCCCATCAGACTGTCAGCTATTTCTCAAAAGAGACTTTACAGGCAAGAAGGGGCTGGAAAGAGGTATTCCAAGTCATGAAATCCAAAGACCTACAACCAAGATTGCTCTATCCGGCAAAGCTTTCATTTAGAATGGAAGGATAGATAAGGTGCTTCTCAGATAAGATCAAATTCAAGAAGTTCATCATCACCAAGCCCTTATTATATGAAATGTTAAAGGGACTTATCTAAGAAAAAGAAGATAAAAAATATGAACAGTGAAAGGACAGCAAACGCACAATTAATTGAGCAAACGCACAATTGGTATTAACTAAACTGGTATTTACTGAGCACTATTAAAAGGCAAATGCTATTGTAGGCAATGAACTACTATAAACTGTTGACAGTGTTATAAAAGAGGATTCCAGTGAGTCAAAGGCAAGATCGGCAAAGAGCCAAGGGTGTGTAGGTGCATGTGCATGTGTACACGAGGAAGGCCTGAAGAGCAGATTGACAGGCAGTTGGTGCCCATGTGGTCTTGGATTCGTAAGGCACCAGACTTCTCATTCTGTAAGACCTTCTACACAAGTAGCCGGGGGTCTTGACCTAGTTTAAGAGGTTGGGAAGACTTTCCTAGAGGTTGGTATTGCATGCAGTGTGAGCATGTACTAAGCAGGAGATGATATGAGAAACAATATTCTTAGCACATGCAAAAACTCTGTGGTAAGAAGAAAACTAGTATATAAGGCAGGTGATGCTACGGTACGATGACCTGAGGGGAAATGGTATGAAATGAGCCTGAAGAGTAGTCTAGAACTCGAAAGATCAAAATAAAAAGTTGGATATTATTTTAGGAACAATGGCAGCTCTTAAAACAGTGTGACACAATCGGATTTGTATTTTTTAAAGATTATCCTGGCTATGGTGATAAAAAAAGAGGAAGCAAAAGTAAATTTGTTTTTTAAAATTAAACAAGTCATTTAACAGACCACTCAAAAGATGACAGAGGCTTGAGCTAGAGGCAGGTGCTTCTGACAAGTACAAGCACCTGCCTGGGCTATCCTGGTCCATGAACTGCTTCTCTCTGCTCTTCTTCTCCTTATAAATGGCAACCCATCCAGTGCACACATGCCTGAGTGTGTGGATTTGCTCATGGGAAGTGAAGGAATTCCTCAACTCATGGCTTTTATGTTTTGAACATGCCATAAAGCAAGACCAGCAGAGACTAGGAATTGGGGTGGGGGTGCTGATAAGTGGAGTAATTTTGCTAGGCAGTATGAGTGGGTTGTGACCACATACTCACCACAATACCACAATGTCACAGAGTTGCATATGGAAGGCAGATGGCTGGCCTCACCCTGTACAGGTTTGGCTTCTCAACATCAATAAATAAAATCATAATGAAAGATAATGAAGTACCAACACCTTATGTACTCATCTTTCTAATGATAGTCTCAGATATTCTATAGAATTACTTGACTGGGGAGATATATATTTCTTTACAAACAAAATATCAATTATTATTTTACACAGATAACCTCTAAGAAAGGAATTCTTTAGGACGGTCAATATTATTTCCAAAGGAATTATGACTAGAAATGTTAGGTAAAGGCTACTTACACAAATACAATGTCCCCTCTCTTAGAGTAAGCAGGAATAGCACTGGCTATGGTAGCAAATCCGTACGAATAGATAATGGCTTCTTCTGTCTTCATAAATTTTGCTAGACGATCTTCCAAATCCAAGTGCACATCTATTTCAATAATAAAAAATTAAATGGTTAAACTGTTATATAACTTTTCTAACTAAAGAATAAAAATAAAGTTTAGTTATTAATACTGTCACCTTATGGACAAACTAATTGTTTTTAAGTTATAAATTACATCAGATCTATTAAGATAATTCTGAGCTAATATTACTTCTAAAATCTATGAAGTGAATCAGCTACTCATCAGCTCTAATTTGAGGTTTTGCTTTCATAACTCTAGCTTAAAAATTCAAGACCCAGTGACTTTACCAGTTTAATGTCCCTCAACCAAGGGCAACAGTACTTTACTAATGAACAATATTAATTATTAATGACTTTTTGCATTTCAGTAGAAGGTACCAGATCAGGCACCAAGATAACTGTCAACCAGCTCTAAAATGGAAAAAACAAGAAAAGCAGTTCATTTAAAAAATAAAAAACCCATACCCTTCATCCAGACAGTGACTTTGAACAGTGGTGCTCACTCCTCTGCAGCTGGTGTCAATACCTAGTTGTAGCACTTGCCGTCACTCTGCAGGACTGAGTTTCTGCCTCAATCCCTTTTCAAGTGTACTGGGGAATTGAAATTAAAAGTACCAAGAGAAATATGGTCCTTTTATAGTGACAACCTAGGAGGAATATGGACGTAATAATGGAAACAAACTGAAATTATTAAACTGTTTTTTCTCTCTCATATCATGCTTCCTTAGAGCCTTTCACCTTCTCAGGCTGAGTCATGAGGCTTTACACCCTGGGATAGAAGAACTAGCAATGTGTAGAATAAACAGCACACAGACTGGGTTTGAACCTGAAAACTCCAAAGTGGTTTTAAAATATGCATTATTCATGAAAGAAAAAAATGTTAACTTCCTTTAGCTCTTATAACTATGGCAGGACCCAAGCCTAGAGAACTGAATAACAGTTTTACCACATGCCTTATGCAAGGAGAATTCAGAAGATGGTAAGATGACTTGGAGCTTCATTGGAAAAGAGAGGTCAGAGGTGGTGAAGGCAGACTTTGAGACCCTGGAAGAGGGAATTATAACATAGCCATTCAGGGGTACTCAGAAGTCCCAGCAGCAGCAGGGACCTAAACAGTCCCCAATGAGAGATAGTGAGGAGGGTTGATAAGCTGGTACAGGCCTCTAGGCCAGATGCTGAGGCTCTGTGGGTGGGAACATCATTCTAGGACACCAGTGAACTTTACCACCTTTAGCATCAGCCTTCCCACCAGGGACCACTGGCATCTCACTCCAGAGACTAGGGAGGCGTAGGAGACCATTCTGCATGGCGTGGGCCTAGCTTCCACTCAGATACAGGACCCATGCCCATGGAGAGGTTCTCCCATGGGGAGTCAGGCCTGCTATAAGCCTAGGCCTCTTTGAGTCTTGCTTTTGGTAAAAACTCTCTCACCCCAATTTGCAGCAAACATTTACTGCAAAGTAACTTCCTAAAATCCATGCTAAACCTTCTAAGGACAAGCTTAACCAGTTCAACCATTTTTGCCCGTTTCATTTGCAAATATCCCTCTTCTGTGATATGATTAGCAGTATCTGCTCCTTTGCTGTCTATGAAAGGTAACCACCTAAAGCGAACCTGTGCATAGTAAATGAGGACCATCCTGTAATGTGCCGAGAAACCCAATAAAGGCCAGTCACGGCAAGGACCGCAGCTTTTGCACCCCTTGAGAGAAAAAGCCATGCTGTCCCTTTTCCTCCACCGGACCGGTAGTCCGTGTGAATGTGTCATTTCATCCATAAGGACACGAACACTGGGGGCCGGCATCCGCATCAGGGAGGAGGCGGATCCCTGCACTTCCCCACTCCAGGGGAACAGGTATGCCACCTCCTCCTCGGAGGCCTTCTTGGTGAAAAGGGAAAAAGAGACAATACCTGAAGAACTGAGATACACAAAAGATGACTTAACCCAGCTGAGTACAAAGCTCCACTCTGAATGGAGTAGGTATTTCCACTTTAAGTGGAAAGATTAACTGTCAAGGTCAAGGGGTTTACCACCTTCAAGGGAGGGACAAGTAAGGGCAGTTCAGCTACAAAATAAAGGAACAACTTACTGAGCACATATGAATAAAGCATCTAAAATCTGGGAACACATTCTGATTTATGAGGCAAGTGTGATGCTTTTTAATTATGAAAATTGTAACTTCACAAAGGCCTACATTTAAAAAGTAGTCAAATGAGGGGAATCCAACAATTTTCTCAGTTAATTAATTTACTAATCAAACATTTAGTGAATACAGCATAAAGACAGATACTCTGATATGCATTGGATCAGGGTTTCTACTACAGCTAAGTGAGCCATCTGCAGCTGTCATCAGAGAACTCTGGGACAGAAGGTTAAGTTATGCCTTCAACCAACTTGTCTTAAACACTTGGGTCTCTTCTGTACTCAGAAATACAGTATATCCAAAGTGATTTCTGACTAAAGACAAAGAACTCTAAACCGCAACCAAAGGTGGTGGTGGAAACCAGAAAGACATAGATGGTCTAAACTAAACTTCAATTGGATGGCAAGAGAGATACAGAAAGCAATTAGAAAATTCAGAAGCAGCCCTGGCCAGTAGTTCAGTTGGTTAGAGTGTTGTCCTGATATGCCAAGTTTGTGGATTTGATTTCCAGTCAGGGCACATACAAGAAGCAACTAATCAAGGCAAAAGTAAGTGGAGCAATAAATTAATGTTTCTCTCTCTCTAATACTCTTTCTCTTTTCCCTTCTCTCTAAAATCAATAAATAAAAACAAAATTAAAAAATAAGGATGGATCATGACTGGTTTCTCAAATACAGTTGGAAAGAAAAGATCAAGAGTGGAGCCACAGAAATGGAGATCACTTGGAAGGGTAGCAAGAGGGGAGTGGGAGGAGGAGGGGGTAGGGAAGGTACAGAGAATAAGGAGCATAGATGGTGGGGGAAAAATAGGGGGAGGGCAAGAGTAGTGTGGGAAATGTAGAAGGTAAAGAACTTATCACACGTGGACATGAACTAAAGAAGGGGAATGTGGGGGAGAAGGGGTGTGCAGGGTGGAGGGGAATGAAGCGGGAAAATGAAACAACTATAATGGCATAATCAATAAAATATATTTAACAAAAAGAAAAACATTACATATTACACCAAGCTTTGGGTTTAGTATCTTGTCACAAAAAAAATGCATATTATTCAGAATCTTCTGCCAGATGATGTTGGGAACCACCCTGTCTGGTTTCAGGAGCTGTAAACACACTGACAGGTGAAAAGGCCCCACACTTAGGGGACCTTGGGACCTTAAGCAGCTAAGGAGACAAAACTTATCCTCCCAGCAGGAGAGCAGCCCCTGCTGCCTTTACTTCATTCACCCTGCTTGGTCCCTGAAGGATGGCTGGATAGTCAGTGATGGGTAAGATTCCTCAAAGAAGGAACAACCCAAGACAGGCACAGTTGTGAAGGGGCCATCAGGGAAGGACTTATGGGATTATGGAGGAGGAACAAAAGACCCTCACCCCTTGGCTTTATCATACCTCGAGTCCTCATTCTGTCCATACAAAGTCTCCTAATCTCTTGTCCCCCTTGCTTCCCTTGCTTGATTCAAGCCTGAAACAATGGCAAAGGGCTGTGCAGCCCTGTGTCAGAACTGGCAGTCCCCAGTGGTTTCTTAGGTGATCAGGTCTAACAAAGAATGCATTAAATCCTGTGACACCTGCTTTGGCTAAGAATGTCCTTAATTTAAATGTTAGTGTCCAAGCACAAAATAAGTTTGTTTCCCAAGGTTTTACAGCTGACTGGCATCACCCCGTCTACCAGACCCTGACCCAAAGGACCCACGTCATCCCAGAAATGTTGTCTGTAAACCATACCTCCTTTCTTTGATATGCATCCCTATGCAAGCTAAACTCAGTAAAAGTCCACTGAGAGAGAGACTTGACACCTTTGTCCTCTGAGAGACTGGTCAGCCTTTCCTCCCCAAGCAGACCATGTCTTAGTAGACTTATTCTCATCTGTGGCAGCTGGGAGAATTCTGCGCGACGAAGCTCCCCCAGAAGATGACACAGTCTGTTTGAAGCTTCAGCTACACTTAGGATAAAGACGACTCTGTGACAGAGGAGTTGATACACAATGTGTTCAGTATGCTCGTACTGCCACTGATGGCACGTTCACACACACCTGAAAAATCAAATCCAATTTAAAACACTCACTCCAACAACAAGGTAAAGACCATGTGTGTGGTATGCTACCAGTTTTGCAAAAATGGGGGGAAATATATGTGTATGGAAGTGGTTTATGAATATTAAAAAACAGTCACAGTCTCTGGAAGAAGTGATAAGGAACTACTGATAGAAGGTGTCTTTCGGGGGGAGGTGGGATGGCAATGGGAAAGGGAAGACTTTTCACTTTCTATGTCTAGAAGTCTACTGAAGTGCATACCATGGACTGAATTATTCGGCCAAGAGAATTAATTTAAAAGCCATTCATCTAAAGACCGCCTGTTTAGAAGCACATAACATCCTACTATGCACATTAAATTTTAGGTGATCCAAATGGCAAGGTGACTGGGTTGTTATAACAATATATTTCTATAGCTTTGGTAAAACTGGTCTTGAGGATTTAAAACATTTGTTTTTCCTGACTTGATTTAGCACCTCAGCTTAACTCCCAAGCAGGGGCCAAGGCCACACATGAAAATAAAATCCACTAGACAGAGAGGCTTTTAGGAAAGCAACTGCTCTACCCCAATAGGTAGCTCATGGAAACAAAGTCTTGTTGATCAGATTACAACAAACAACCCCATGAAAAATGCCTTTCCAGTTTTCTAATACTTACCAAGGACACCATTCCCAACCCAACCAATCAGAACCAAGCAAACAACCCATGTTTACAGTAGGCTTAGATCAAGGAGGGAGTCTGACTGGAGCTCACTTAACGGTTTGATCCTGCCATTAACACTGAAGTCAGCAATGGTCAAGATGGCAGAGTAGACAAACCTCCTCCCACTACCACATCAAAATTATGACTAAACTGCAGAACATCCATCATTGAGAACTGCCTGAAGACTAGGTGAACAGAAGTCCTGTAACTATGAAATATACAGAGGAAGCCATGTTGAGAATGGCAGGAGAGGCAGAGATCAAAACAAGCCAGTCCCATACCCTTCCATGGTGGATAAAAACGAGGACAGATATCTCAGCTGCAGAGATCCCCACTGAGGAGTGCAAGGCCCCAGCCCAACGCCAGGCTACCCATCTCAGGATTCCAGTGCTGGAAAGAGAAGTCCCCATAACTTCTGGCTGCGAAAACCAGTGAAGACTGTGGCTGAGATAAAGGGCTTCTGGAGTCTCAGGCATTCCTCTTCAAGAGCCAGAGCATGGACATACTCTGATGGACTCTCTCTGAGCTCCAGCTCAAAAAGCGCCAGGGAGGAATTGAATTGTCTAGCTTTGGGTGAGGGAAGGAGGGGAAGCTTTTTCCCACACACAAGTGCTGGCAGAGGCCATTGTTCCTTTGCTGAACCCTCTCCCCACAGAGCCAGCAGGTACCATATCTGAGGCTCCATCAACTGGCTAACACTGTAATTCCCTGAGATCCCACCCCACCAAATTTGCTGTCCACCCAAGTTGCTTCTAGTGGCCTTTCCATACAAATGGAAGGTCTTGGCTCATGCTAGGGACTTTCCTAAAATCTCTTGAGAGTTTATGAATGCCTAACAAGCAGCATCTGGGCTCGGTGACTCCCATACCTCTTGCTAAGCAGCTCTAAGTCAGGCGTTAACTGCAGCCAGCCTCATTTAGAAGTTTACAGTCTTCCAGCTGCCTCCAAGCCCAGCATTAGTGGCAACCATCTGCAGACCAGTTTGTAGCCTTTGTCTGGTGGCCCACAGCAGGGCACGGGCAGTGACTGACCTTGCCATGCACCAGAGTGCTTTCCAAGAGGTTCCATAACCAACACACAAGGTGGACAGCTTCAGACCGCACCACAGCACTGCCCCACCACCACCACAAACAGCACACAAAAAGGGCAAACTTGGCAGGCACCAGAGCTCTGCAAAAGCAAATCCTGCAGTGTAGGGTCAGCCCTTGCAAAACGGCTCCTTCACTGGAGTCAAGCCATTCCTCACAGGCAATCAATCAGCCTGAGGGTCAATCCTTCCAGCTGACCTGATAACAAAAATCAAAGCTCAACTACAACAGGAGGTCACACAGATCCCATGCAAGAGGCAAACCAGGAGCACCTGGCTCAGGTTACCAAGAAGATAGAACTACTGAGCCCCACAGGACACCTACTACATAATGCCATTACCAAGACCAAGACACATAGAGACAAACACAGAAAGGCAGCCAAAATGAGCAGACAAAGAAACATTACCCAAGAAAAAGAAAAGAACAGAATTCCGGAATAAGAACTAAACATAATGGAGACAATTTACCAGACGCAGAGTTCAATACAATGGTTATAAAAGATGCTCAGTGAACTGCTTGAGAACTTTAACCAAAAGACAGAAACCATAGAAATGGAGGGTGAAAATATAGAAAACAACCCATCAAAAATGAAGACCACAATAATTGAAATGCAGAACACATAAGAGAAAATCAAGAGAGATTGGATGGAGCAGAGAAGCAAATCAGCAATCTGTAGGAGAAAGTAGCACAAAACACCCAATCAAAATAGCAGAAAGAAAAAAGAATCCCCCCATAAAAAAAATGAGAATAGTTTAAGGGGCCTCTGGGACAGCATCAAGCATACCAACATTCACATCATAGGAGTATGAGAAGAAGAAGAGAGACAACAAGAGACTTAAAACCAATTTGAAGAAATAATGATGGAAAACTGCTCTAACCTGGTGAAGGAGACAGACATACAAGTCCAGGAAATACAGAGTCCCAAACAAGATGAACCCAAAGAAGCCCACACTAAGACACAGCATAATTAAAATGCCAAAGAGAGAATCTTAAAAGCAGCAAGAGAAAAGCACCTGCTTAACCTACAAAGAAAGCTCCCATAAGACTGTCACTGATTTTTCAATGGAAACTTTGCAGGCAGAGGGGATTGACATGAAATACTCAAAGCGATGAAAAGCAAAAACCCATAATCAAGATTACCCTACCCAGCAAGGCTGTCTTTTAGAATCAAAGGACAGATAAAGAGCTCCCCAGAGAAAAAATAAGCTAAATGAGTTATCACCACCACACCATTATTACAAGAAATGATAAAGAGATAAGAAGAAAAAGAGGAGAAGAGAAAAAGGAGGAGGAGGAGAAGGAAAGGAAGGAGAATAAGAAAACAAAGAAGAAGAGAAAGGTAGGAGGAAGAGGAAGAAGAGGAAAAAGGAAAATATAATAAAGTGGCAATAATTCATACACATCAATAATTACTCTAAATGTAAGTAGATTAAATGTACCAATCAAATGACTTAGGGTGGCTGAATAGACTTAAAAAAGACATTTACATCTGATGTCTGCAAGAGACCAACTTCAGATTGAAAGGCACACAGATTGAATATAAAGGAATGGAAAAACATATTTAATGCAACTGAAAATGTGAACAAAAAGTTGGGCTCTCAATGCTTGTACCAGACAAAAATAGACTTTATTTTATTCTACTTTAATTTTTTTTTTAGTCCTCACCCAAAGATGTATTTGTAGAGAGAGAGAGAGGGAGGGAGGAAGAGAGAGAAACATCAATGTGTGAGAGAAACATCCATCAGTTGCCTTCTGTAAGTGCCTAGACTGGGGACTGAGAACCCACAACGTAGGTATTTGCACTAACTGGGAATCGAAACTGTGATATTTCAGTGTATGAGATGACTCTCAAACCAACTGAGCCACACCAGACATGGCCAGAAAAAATACACTTTAATACAAAGGCTATAACAAAGGACAGAGAAGGACCCAATAATTCTTCTTCTGGGTATTTATCCAACCAAACCAAAAAACACAAATTCAAAGACATATACATCTCTATGCTCTTGGCAGCATTATTTGCAATAGCCAAGATATGGAGGCAACCTCAGTGCCCATCGATAGACAAACGGCTAAAGAAGAAGTGGTACTTACATGCAATAGAATGTAACTTAACCATAAAAAAAGAATGAATCTTGCCATTTGCACAGCCCGAACGGACTTAAGAGTATATAAAGCTAAGTGAAGTAAGTCAGATAAAAAAAAGCAAATATCATATTTCACTTATACATGAAATGTAAAAACAAAACAAAATAAATGAGCAAATAAAACAAAAGGAAACTCATAGATATAGAGAACAAACTGATGGTTGCCAGATGGAAGGAGGTTTGGGGGAAATGGGTGAAAAAGGTGAAGGGATTAGGAACTATAAATTGGCAGGGACGTAAAGTACAGAATAGGGAATACAGTCAATAATATTATAATAAGTATGTATGGAGTCAGATGAGCACTAGACTTATCAGGGTGATCCTAGGTTATACAAACCAATGTTGTAAACCTAAAACTAGTATGATAATTGTATGACAACTATAAATGAAAAATTTAAAAAAATACTTAAGAAAAGAATTATTCAAGGAAAAAAAATAAGACCACGAGTCAGCACACTAGGTTTCTAGTTTTAGGGTTGAAGTCAATGAGCTGTGTGACTGTGAGGAAGTCACATAACTTCTCTGGTCTTTCTATTCACCTTATGAATACTTGGGATGCTGGAGCACAAGATTTTTTAAATCCTTTCCAGCTGTAGGACTCTTTAAACACTAACCCTCGTCACCTGTTTCCAATATAAACAATTTAAGTGCTAAACATGCTAAGGAATAAAGATGTTCTGTTAAATAAAAACGTCTCAACTGAAAGAGGAAAAAACAAAACAAAACAAAGACAGAAAAAAATAAAACCATGCAAAGGCCCAGAAGTGGGAATGAGGGCAGAAGAGATTTTCCTAGCTCTACTTTCCCCACACTCTGACATTTTGTAAGCCAGAATGTTATTTCCAGGAATATATTCAGTGGAACAACCATTTAACATTTCAAAAAATTTCAGAAGAAAAAACCACCAATATACATTCAATAAATATAACCAGAAAACGCCACGGTTCTCTTTGAAAAGTCTCAGTTTGAAATCACACACAGTCATCCTAATATTTGGTTAGCCTTTCCCAGAGTCACCCACACTCGAAACAATGACCCTTCATCTTCATTCCAAAAGGAAAAGAGCTATAGAGTCTATCACGATCAGGTGAGCTGAGCTACAGGTCACCATCTGTTCTTGCCTTTCTCCCTGTAAAGTGCTAGCTATCCAGCTAGAGCTACTTCCCTGTCCCCTTTGCAGTGAGGCAGGACCGGGGTTATGGTCTCACCAAGGAAATGCGGACAAAGTGATGTGCAGCACTACCCAGCCACCTAAAAGTGTACTGCTGCCCTGCACTCCCCTAAATTTGCCACCTGAATGCATGCAGACAAGGACGGTACTCTCCACACTGGAGAAACAAACAGGAGATCCTGGTTCTTGCACAACTTTGAAGAGCTGAGCCACCCACGCAGGACCCTTCCCTTTACAACTGTCTCCTCACATCACTGCCTCTAGGGGGAGGCAGTGGAACAGCCCCTCAGGCTTTGAACTAAGACCTCCTCTACACAGGTAATGTAACTATGGGTCTTCTCTGCAAATGACAGCCAATGCCCCCTCACACATTCCAAACACACAATGTTCTAGAAAGTAAGGTAAGCAATAGCACCAGCTTCATGCTACAACTAATTAAGGATATCATTTCCAAGGAATTTGGAAGTCCAATAGCATCTTAATTCTTGAAATCAGTAGTCTGAGAAATGCAACAGAAACGTACCAAATGTGCCATAAAATCCTCTAGGTCCGCATGTCCCCACACCATACTTCTTTAGAGATGCCAAAGCTGCTGCCTTTCAGGAAGAAAAGAAGGCAGGAGTTAAAAACTGTCAATTCCTATTCTTTAGCCCACGTAACTCCTCCCTCCATTTTCTTTCCTTTCTTAGAACTATGACATCCTAACAACAGAATATAAAGAAAAGACTGACACAGAGATTTAGGGATATAACTTAAAACATGGAGATGTTCTACTAACTCAATTATCAATCCTGGTTAATGTAATGCTTTTACACTTTTTGGCATTTGTGGACATAAGTCTGTTCTCAAAAATATTTATTGGCCAACAATCCCAACAGGAAATAAAGCAATTTCCCACACACATCTCTGATGGTCACCAGGTCTGGCTCCTACAACACACTAAGCCACAGCAGACACTCCTGCCACCCTTCGTGGAAATCCAGGTCACAGCTCTTCCAGAAAGGAGTAATGACAGACACTCGCAGAGCCCTTTCTCATGTTCTGCATTTGTCTTTGATTTTATGCCTAGTTTCCTAAGTCAGTCATACTATCTTTCCACTTCAGCATAGATGCTACTTACCTTGACCCTAGGGTTATCCAGCAAACCAAGAAAATTAAATGAGGCAAAGTTGATACATTCTTTCCCATTCACCACGATGTTGTGACTTGGAGGGCTGGGGAAAAGAGATGAGAATGGTTTACTTCAGCTGACATTTATGTTTCAGCATACATGCTAACCACATTACCCCCTGGCAGCAGACAGGTCAGGTGAAGTGTGGTTATTCTGCCCTATTTGCATATACTGATCTCCTAACTTTTACTTTTTATTTTTAAAAAGTAAAATCAGACAAGTAAAAGTAAAAGTAAAATCACGGCATATTAAAAATCAAATACTCAGCCAGTAATTTTATTCCTAATAGGCTACCCTGTACACTTAAATTAAGAAGTAGGTTAGAATTCCAAAATGGATAGAGGGCAAGTCTTTGTTTTGATTTTAAAATTCACTTAAGAAAGAATAGCTAAATAAAGTACCTCAGAAAAACTCTGGGGTAAGATAACTATGGAGAAAATACAAAAAGACCAAGATCAAAGGCAGGAGTAGGCAGAGCAAGTTACAATCTTACAGTGTTGTGGTTTAAAAAGAAATGTTATCTGTAGGGAGCCACTAAAAGAATAAGGGGACATGTACTCAATTGCTAAAGTTAATGGTAAAATACTATTCACCAGAAATTCCTCCCTGTACCCCCATTTTTTTTACAGGAAATAGAGTGGCCAACTCCACAGGCGTGTGCACCCGAGTATGGCTGGGACAGGAGGTGGCATCCCGACAGACAGCCCATATCCTTGGCTGACAAACACCAGCTATGGCCATGCTTCAGAAACACAGGGCCAAGCTACAGGTCACGGGCAATGACAGCGTTGTAAGACCAGTTGACTCTGACACAACCAGGCTCTTTTAACTAAAGGCAACCATAAGAATAGGATGGACTGAGCTTACCAGGAAGCACAGCCCAGTGTAAGGAAAAGGACTGTGCCTGCAACTTATTCTGGTTACACATGTGCACTGGTCTGGAAGCTGGACTGTTCTTGGAAATGCACTGTGACCAGAAAAGACTGAGGAACTGCTCTCATCAATATGTTTAAAAAGAACTGGTTTTCTATGAGGAAAAAAAAAGATGCTGGAAAACCAGAGAAGGAAATGAATGACAAGTTCAAGTAAAGTCAGAAAAGCAGATTCAAAATTCACAGATGGCAAGATGACTCAGTGAAAAGAACATGGGTTGTAGAATCAGTCAGACATCCCATTGGCCTTGAGGCTACTGATGGCTTCCGAAACTTGTGTATGTTACCTGAGCTTTGTGAGCTTCAGTTTCCTCACCTATAAAGTGGGAAGAGAACTTTTTCTCAAGGTAACTGTCATTATAAATGGGCCTGGCCCAAAGAGAGGCTCTCTAAATAGTTTCTTCCTTCTTCCCTATGGCTTCAAGGGCTTCTTCTCTTTTCACCTACTGTGATTCATCCTTCTCAGGGCTTCTTAAAGTTTCCCCAGTCCTCTCTGGTGTGGAGGTTCTGGCACTCACAAAAAGATTAAGAAGCAAAACACCTGCCCCAGCCGGCATCCTGCACCGGCCGGTATATCTCAGTGGATTGGGCGCAGGCTGCAAACCATCCAAAGGGTTGCCGGCTCAAGTCCCGGTCAGGACACAGGCCTGGGTTGTGGGCCAGGTCCCCAGTAAGGGGTGAGTGAGAGGCAACCACACATTGATGTTTCTCTCCCTCTCTTTCTCCTTCCCTTCTCCTCTAAAAATAAATAATAAAATCTTTTTTTAAAAAAGAAACAAAACACCTATATAGACAAACCTGTAGTAATGGTTGCTGCTGTGCAAGTTGAGGCCATTCACCAAAAACTGCAACACAGAGAGAAGTCAAACTATTGTGAATACGCACACCCAGAAGTCCCTGACCACAGTCAAGAGGCAGCACGTCACGGGGATGCCGATGCCGGGATCTGATTTTTGCCCAGCACTTGGGACAAGGAAGAAAAACAGTTTCCAGTGAGATATGGAAGGCTCAGACCTGCGCTCCACGTGGGTATGTACCTAACACAGCCTGGAGCATAATACCCTTCAAGGTCACCTTGCACCAGCAGACAAAACCAATCCAGAAACACACCTCCACAATCAAGGACTCAGAGAATGGGAAGGAGCAAAAATATTGTAAAACGCTTCCCAACCAAAACAACAACCTCATTCATTAGTGACAGACAGAAATTACATGGATGAATAAAGCTTCCCAAATGGCTATGTGACTTAGACAGAATGGTGCTTTACCAGAAAGAAACAAATATTATGACCCCATTAATATCGTTTGGTGCTGGTATGAGAATAGACAAGTAGACCAAAGAAAGAATCTAGAACTCAAGACAATGGTGTATATACATAAGGAACTGGCAGATAATAGCATCTGTCCCACAAACGGCTAAGTTGTACACAGATATTTCTCGATGGAGAAAAATAAAGTTGCATAACCACAAACAAAGATAAATTCCAGGCATGTTACAAACCCAAAAGATATTTTGGAAAAGGCAATAAAACAAAATGTAGAAAAAATGTTTTTGTGACCTTGGGAGTAGGAAATGTTCTCTTAAACAAGTCTGGAAACACACAAACCATGAGGCCAACATGAATGAATGTGATCATGTCAAAATTAAAAATTTTGGTTTAATGAAGACACCAAAGACACTGTAAACAGATGGGTAATAAAGAGATTGTATTGTATTTCACCGAATCTAAGAAAGCACCAACTGTATTATTACCTACCATTAAGGAAGAAAACACTATCGCCTAAAAGGTCACAATGTTTTCCTGTCATCTAGAATTTCATAGATTATATTGAATGAAAAGACCAGCTGGGCATTCTTAGAGAGAGGTTTTTGTTATAATCTTTTGTACTTATAAAGAGAACAATACAAAGCAATTAAATCAGCCAAGACATTCCTAACCTCTTTACCCACGTTCCAACAGTGTGCTCTCCTTTGCTAAGTCACAGACACCACAGACAGTCACACAACGGTCTGCTCCCTGCCACCTAACACCCAGGCCTGGCTCAGCAGGATGCTCCCCTGCTGGCTCTGAGATTACCTGACAAGGCGGTGTCACCCATTCTCTACGTTTTTAATGCTGGAACTTTGCTATTGGACTAAACTCCTAGTTTCATCTTTTGCCATTTGAGCCACATTTGCTACAAAACAGGCTGGTATTATCCCAAGGCAGCAGAAGTCTGACAAAGGGATGTTCAAAGCCTCTGTCAAAGCAGCCTCTGTTCATCTGCTCAGAGTCTCCCGCCATCAGCTGATTTCCTTACCAGCAGCGCACATAACTCAGCTGAAGTGCTGGCAGTGAACATAGTCATGACCAAGTTCACTGGTACACAGGTGAGGAACACCTCCAACCACCGTGCCCCCTGGCTGACAATGATTTACAGCAGCTGTAAGATTCACCTCCAATTCAGAGATCTTACAACAGAGGGGGAAAGTACATCGGGGAATAAGTGCATTAAATCAAAGGCTGACCAAGGGTTAGAATCTACATGGTTTCTTGCTAATCAGTTGACAAGCTGGTGACAAGAGAAGGATATAAAAGACATGAAGAGGCATTCACAGAAAGGCAAAACCCCACTGGCTAATAAGGAGATGAAATGATATTCACAGGCTCATATAATCAGAGAAATGCAAACTAAAACAATGTAACCAACCCAGGCAGTGAGGGGACTGGGACCCCAATAAACAAACTCAGGGGGAGCCCCCACAGGGCAATCATGATAAAGGAAAATCCCACAGGAAAATCAGATGGCCATATAATACCCCACTGCTGGCTGTATGAACCCAGAAGGACTCAAACAGCTGTGCAAGGGGCAATTAACTGCAGGAGTAGTTATAGCGTCTTTCTCCTCAAGATGGCATTTTTCCATCTGGAGGAAAACAGCTAGGTAAAACTCAGTGACTATATACAAGAAAATAGGCAGCAGTGAGAAGACATGACAAGAAGTCCATCTAGCATTCCCACCCCTCTGTATGCCCTGCTCAGTATTTCCTCATACCACCCAACACCAGCTAATGTTATATTTATTTCATTGTTGGTCTGTCTGCCCCAAAGAAACTAAGATTTTTATTCATTGCTACAAAAGCCAACGTACATCCCTTAAACATAGCAGGTGCTCAAATATTTGTTGAGAAAAATGTGTTGAGTAAAAATCTTGTAAAAATCAGAATGCAGTCTAGAGCACAAAATTTAAAATATCCATTCACAAAACATTAAAATTATGTGGTTTCAATCATACAATATAAAAATGAAATATATCACTTTAATAACACAAAAATACATGACACACAAAATGATGATGGAAAGCATAAAGAAATATTACAGTGAGACGAGAGTGGATGTGGGCACCAGGGGGGAAAGAAAACAAAGAACAAAGCTAACGAGTGCTGCCTCATGTGGGTGCTGACAAGAGTGAAGCTGAGCAGAGGGTTAATGACTGTGTCTCCCTCCAAAGGCTCAAAACAGACAAAATAAACCAGAAAATCAACTAAACCAGAAGTCAAGCCTCTGGAGAATCTGAGCGAGAAAGGAGACACAAATGACTCTTGCAAAGGGGACACAAGCCCCACTGATGTGGCATTATATCCATCTGTAAAACAAAGTTTTACGCATGTATTTCAAAAATGCATTCTCAGGATAAACCTATAAATTACACACCAGTACATTTGAAAACAGAAGAAATGGACAATGACTAAATAATGGTAAGCAAACCTTAAGAAGGAAAACTGATTAGCTTTACAAACTCATTGAAGGCAATGAATTCATGAATAAAAATCTATGCTCAATGGAGTACCACAGGAAATATACACTGTTGCTAAGAAAATGGTTAAGACTAATATATCTTTGTTATCAAAACTGGACTAGCACAGAAAGTGAGAAGAAGAGACTATAAGTCAATTTTCAACACAGGTGTTAAACTCCCGAATATTAGCAAAACACACCCTGCAGTGTATAAAAACCCAATAGTCATTTCTTAAGCAGGGTTTATTCTAGGAATGTAAGGATTATTTACTAATAGGAAAACCTACCAGTGACTCCTAGTAAGCAAAACAGAATGAAATAAAATTGAAAAA